CAACGCTCCTGTGCGTGCGGGGTCGCGGAATCCCTTCGCCCTCCTCCCGAGGGTCGGCCAAAAGTAGTCCGCGCGTAGCCGCGCTTTCGAACCCTCTACGGGAAGGAGAGTGGGCGCGGACCCGAGCAGAGTCCTGGAGAGAGTGTGCCAGAGGCGGGGCCATGGTCTTGCCGCGAGTGAGCGTGGACGCGAGACTAGGCGTGGGCTGCCCTCAGGAAATTCTGAGTGATGGGGTTTTCAGGAGAGAGGTAAACAACGTTACCAGCTGCCCTTGCCTGGAGCTTGCATATGTACAGAAATTCTACCTCAGTTGCGTTCAGGGACAGTTGAGTTCAGGGACAGTTTCTAAAATTCAATCAGAGGTGTGCCCAAAACAGCATAAAAGGAGGCTTCCAAGTGTGTGTGACAGATGTGTTCCTGCCTAAGGCTCAGCACCTGCTCCCTTGGGAAACATCCTTCATGGCCGATGCGATTTCTAGAGAAAACTGTGGCAGAAGAGCAGTGGGAGGAGTCTGCAAAGATCGCCCTTGGCAGCAGATGACCAACCAAGGGCCACTGCGGGTCACCAGGATTGCTTGTGGCCACACAATACATAGTAGTAGCAGGTCCCAAAGTAGAATGCACGCCTTTGCCCAGCGGCCGTTTGTTTTCAGATGGGCCGTTTGAAGATGTGTTTTGAACGCAGATGGATCAACTGCATGAAAGACGCTTGTCCGGGAAGGGAAGCCTTTGGCATCCTGGTTGGCACTCCCACAGAGTAACTGCTGCTCTTCTTTACTCTTCAGGTCGCTCCCTGGTTATTTTCCACCTTGAATAACACAGCGGTGATGTAATTATTTGCATTTGCACAATAGCTTTACAGTCTAGTAACCAAAAATGTTGAGAGAACAGACTTCACTTTCGAATGAAAATTGTTTTCCCTGTAGTACCTTTGTAGAAGGCCCTTTCAGCATCTGTGTAGCCTCATGACCTAACAATAGAGCTGGTTTTTGCCGTGGGTAGCACTACATTTCCCAGATCCATCAGTCAGATTGACTCTTCTCATTTTGGATTGTGTTCCCTCTTCTTTGTATGCCTGGTAATCTTTGAAGGCCAGATGTTGTGAACTTTACCTTGTTGGATGTTGCCTATTTTTGTATTCTTACACATTCTCTTGAACTTCGCTTTGCAATGTAATTACTTGAAAACAGCTTTTGGGTCTTGGTTTTATTTTTTGTCAGATCAATCTGGAGTAGTGCTTTAATTATTCTCCAATATTGAGGCAAGTCTTTCCGAGTTCTCTATCCCAAGCCTGGGAGTTTTTTTAGTCTAGCTGGTAGGAACAGGTGCTATTTCCAGCCCTGGGTGATAATTAGGCAGTTTTTATTCTAATCTTTTCAGATGGTTCTTTGCCTAGCCTTGGCTCTTTTCTCATGTGCATGCACTGATCAGTACTCAGGTGCTCCCCCTGCTGAGTTCCAGGGTTCTCTCCATGGAGCTTTCTCTTGGGTGTTCTGTTGTGTGAACTCTAGCTGCCTTAGTTTCAAT